GAGAGCCCCATAGTTTGAGCCATATTGAGGAACATCCCAAGTCTGAAGCTGGCATTTCGCTGCCCTGCTCTGGTGAGGTTAGTGTACTGTTACTCGCAGACATTTAGATGATCCTGAAGAATGTCAGCTGGGCCTCTCGAGAGAATGGCAGTCCTTGTGCTACACTCCTTTGGACAAAAATATGCACACATTTTGTTCCCCAAACCTTTGCTTGGAATCCAGTCCTTGAAGCCCTTGATGGTTCCAACCCCCACTGTGGCAGGGGATTGGAACTAGATGATCTTTAAGGTCCCTTCCAACCCAGAGCATTCTGTAATTCTATGATGATGATTAATCACGCGCTACTTTTATCTTGCAGTGTGTAGGAAGAAGTTGAAGTCAATGACTATTCTGCAATCACAGTCTGCTGTTTTCTGTGTGAGGGTTTTGTGGATGTGGCCATCTGATAACACATCTGATAGCACAGTGCTGAGAAAAGAGGTATAGCCTTGCTTTTGCACTCTTCCTCTTTTCAGCTATGTTCTTTTCATTTTCTTCAGCAACTGAGCATTATGGTCAAAATAAAAAGCAGGATCTTGTCTTGCAAGGAAAATTAACATCTCCAACTGTGTTCAAGTTGACTTTTTGTGATCTGCTACACAACCTGGCTTAATTCACAGGTGAAAGGGCAATACCAATATAGATCCCAGAAGCAAAGCCTGACAAAACTGTAAAAGGAGGAATATTCTCAAATATTCTACCATGACTTTTTGCCCCATTCTCCTTTAACATTTTTAAAAATAAGCAGTTTTCTTGCTGCCTGATACAGCTTTGTGCATAATTTTATAGTTCACTCATTGTTCTTGTAACTACACGTGATATTATTCCTTTGTGATGTTTTTATAGTCATATGAGTACTATTGGTCCTTAGTGTTGCTTGTTAAGGGTGTCTGAGGAAAACAGATTTGTTACATTTAGAATTGCTCACAAACTTTTCATCTGCATGGTTTGACTTGTGAAGAAACTGCTCAGTGTTGTATTTAAAAGAAGGATGGGATCCACATCCACATCCACACCTCCCTGGCAGGGCCTGCATGTGCCAGTGTTATAGTATGCCAGTCCCAGTCTGGGTAGACACCTAATTGTACCTGATAGATGCCAACTGAGGGAATGAATTAATGACTCAAAACATTAATGGTGACAGGCATTTGCATCAACTGGACCCATCAGAGCAAGCACATATGAAAAGGTTCATCTCAGGCTTCCTTAAACGTGTCTGAACCTGCCTCCCCAGCAGCTGGGGATCTGCACAGGCAGCAGCTGGCTGGCTGCTACTTCCTTACTTGCACTGCTGCTGAAACAGAAATGTGCAGGCTGAAATCCATGGTGCTACCGGAGCTCTCACAACAGGCACACGGCTGCTGGGGAGCCCTGCTTAGGGGGTGCCCTTGCCAGATGGAAGGGGGTATTTAGCTGTGTGCAGGCAGACCTCTGGGAAGACAGCAGGCAACCTGGGATCTGCCTGGAGCTCCTTGCTCTATCAAAACCAGATCTGTTTAGTCCTGAGTTTCTGTATATTCAGCCATATATGTCTGGCTGGTGGAGGGTCCTGGAGGAATATCAAAGGCTGTTGGCATGTGGCTGTGAAGACCAAGCTGGATGAGACAGCAGGCAGCAGCAGCAGCAGCAGCATCCCAGCTGAGCTCAGAAATCCATGCTGCCCCTTCCACCACTGGCCTTGCCAGGGCCACAGCCCTGAGGCAACCTGTGAGACACTGCAGGAGTGCCTGTGGCTACCCAGGCCTGGTCACAATGCAGGCAGCAGGTCACACAGGGTAGGCTGGGGCACTGGAGAAAGAAAGAGCTTTCAGAAAAGAGACAGGAAAGCAAGGAAGGGAAGCAGCTAGTGGCACCAGAGGGGTTTATGAGGCTCCATGCATTAGGGTCAGTAACATCAAGGTAAAGAGAAGTGGCTGATGTGGGCAGGTGAAATGAATTTTTTTAGGACAGAAGGACAGAAGGAGGTATGTTTTGTCATCTGAATGACCCAATCAGTTTGACACTAAAATTTTAGCCACAGATTTTCAGGATGCAGATGAAATAGCTCTACTGCAGATGAGTTATCACTAACTCCCTGATTGTAATGATTCATGCACTTCCTTTCAAATTCCACTTTTCCTTCCCATGAGCTTTATAACCCATTTCCAGAAAGAATATTTATTACACCAGCTTTTACTAGGTAAGTTACTTTTCTTAGCCAGCTGTTTTTGTTCTGCTTTCAACAGGAAGATGAAACAATTAAAAATTAGTCAGTCCACATTGTACCTTTTTTTTGCTCCTTATCCAGAAGCATTTAGTCAGTGTGGCCATAGGAGGCAGAATACTGAACTCCTCTGACTGCACAAGGCATTTCTGTAGCTGTAATTTAGTTTCTAGTATCCACCATTTGTTTGATACTGCCTGAAACTGGTAAAAGATATTAATGGCTTACAGCTTGAAAATTATCACTAGCAGTGGCTTTTATTTAATTCTCTTATTATTTTCAATATTATTGTTTGCATTCTTAATTATTAGTGTACATACCTCCTCTAAATTTCCATCTGATAATATTCTTCAGTGTGGAACTTCCAGCAGGTGATGTTAAAATAATAAAAAAGCCCAGCTCCCTCTTTCCTCTTTGCTTTTGTATGTCTCAGCTTACAGTGCTTTCCTGTCTTTGATGAGTCATTGCACTTACTTTGTACTGATACTTCTATATTTCAGACCAAAGCATTGATTTTTGTTTCCTTGTTTTCTGATCAGAAAAAGCACAGTTCTTCTTCCCTGTAGGTATCACTGGATTTTTGTCAGCTCAGAGAAACCCTCTCTTCCAAGTTGTGATTTGATAGGATGTTGTGTCAATGGCATGCAGGTGTATCTGGTCACTTTTGAAAATGCTCAGCACTGTTTCCTACTGGTGGTCCAGGTCTGGAAGGAATATTGCTTTATAATTCAACTGAACATTATAAAGATTGAAAACATTTTCCTGGTGTGACTTTATGGTGATTGTATCCCCAGTTGTCTGTTCTGTTTATGCTGGATGTTAAGTTCTGCATCTCTAAGACTGGTTCAGAGACTGAAGCAGGGGTGGGAGAAGAAGCACACAGTTTGTTTTCAGAAATGGCACTCACTGCCCCACATGCTGCTCCAGACTGTGCTGTCTGCAGCACAGAGCTCTCCTTTGCTTTGTTAGTTTTTAGCTAGCTGAGGCAGACAAGTTCCTAGACCGTGGTTTTGTTTTTTTTTTCTCTGTTCAAACCTACTCTGGACTGAAAACCCAGAAAACACCAGGAGCTCACACCTGTGGCCCACCAGGGCCTGGGCCTCGGCACTTTCCAGCACTGGAGGGACTGGTAAGGGACTGAGAGTGAGCTGAGCTACACCCCATGGCAAAGACTTTTCTGGATTTGCCACCTCTTTGAACAGAGAGAGGTCTTATTGTTTAATATTATTCATTTTTTATGCTTGTGAATACTTTGCTTGTTAAATAAACAGTTTTTTCCACTTTTCTCTAAGGAAATCTTTTCCCAAACCAGTTGGGGGAGGGGCTGCTTGAATTGCTTTCTGGAGGGACCCCATTCAGAGGTTTTCTCCCAGATTTGCCCTAAACCAGGACAAACACTATAAAATATAGCAATCAAGTATGAGAATATAAATGAACATTTCAAATACCAGAGACTCCCAACTATACAAATATAAAATCCTTTTTTTCTCCTTGTCATGGCCATAGGGTGGCACTGGCTATTGCTGAGCATAGATATGTGTCCTAGGAGTAGTACAGCCCAGTATTTCAAGTTCAGCAGAACATTTTCAGAGACCAGGAATGTGGTTCATTCAGACTGGTCCATGGTTTGTTCACTCCTGCAAGCAAGTAAAACAGCAGCTTTTTCCTTACAGGCCTCTGATAGTACCAACTCCATCTCTCCACCCTCCTCAGCCACTTGCAGCAGAGAGACTCAGAAGAGATTTCCTTCTGCACCTTCTCTGACTTCCTTCTCCTGTTCTGCTGCCTGCCTTGCTGCCAGCAAGGGAGAATGTCAGGCAGCTGTGTAAGATGAATGTGGTCTCACACCCTGCGGTTTCCTGTTCTGGGTGGTGATCAGCTGCCCTCATGCCTCCTCTCAGAGAGCCCATCAGCAGTCAGTGACACTCCCTCACCTGTGTTTCTGCCCTGCCAGTAAAACAACTACAGGAGTGTGTTGGTAAAGGGATGTTGCCTTTCCTCACCTGCTGCTGCTACTTTCATAAGAAGAAAAAACCTAACCCTTGCATCTATTTTTTTTCACCTTTTCTTACCATGGAGCGAAGCCTGCAGAGCTGGACAAAAGATAATTAAATCCTGCTGAGCTAGCAGACTTGGCATAAAACCAAGAAAAACCTTGAAATATTGAAAGGCATTGTGAAAAATTGGGAAGCATTAACCTTAGATGATTTTTGTGATGATGAGAAGATGAAAGATGGAAACACGTAACTGAATTATTGTTTGTAGATATGCAGCACTTCTGAAGTTAAATCAAAGCACCATGTTCACTGTAGTTAAAGTAGTTAATATTTGCCAGATTACCTTGAGGCATTTCGATGTAATGTGAAGATAACAGTGGCACAGTGTGCTTACACAGATAAAATGAGACATACTCATGTCCAATGCTTTTCAGAGAAACACACCATCAGCACAGTTCCTCTTTAACCTGCAAAAATCTTATTTTACTAATACCTTCTACGGATTATGTTGTAACAGTGCAGGAAGTGATTCATTTTAGACATACAAATGTAGTTATGCTTCAAAGTGCTTTATCACTTTTCTGTTTCAGCTTTACTTACAGCAAGTGGGTAAAACTTCAGCAGCATTCAGCTGTGTGAACTAGCCCCATGGGCTATGCCCACTGTGGCAGCAGAACTATTTGTCAGCAGAATTTCTTCTCACAGCCTACTCTTATCAGAAGACAGATGCGATTACTAAGCTAAAACGGTATGTGAAAACATATGGTGTTTTGGAGCTGCTTGGTTACTGTGGAGGATAAATAGCTCCTGACCCTAACCAGGATCTTTTCATGAAAAAAGAGCGGTGTCCCTATGCCTTATAAAGGCATGGGCAGGCTTATTCCAGCGCTCAAGAAGGGGCGGTAGCGGGTTTGTGCTGCTGAGTTTGTTTCCAGCAGTGGTTGCAGGCGAATGAAGAAGTTGAGCTGAAACTGCGAACATCCCGGCACTTAGCGGCAAAACTCAGTCGAGAGAGGAGGAAGCAGGTGAAATTACAAAAAAAAAAAAAAAAAAAAAAAAAAAAAAAGAAAAGGAAAAAAAAAAAAAAGAAATCCACTTGGTCATGGGGAAATCAGGTGAGCAAATGAAATGCCTTCGTGCAGTTGGCTGTGTGTTCACGCAAAGTCCGTGCCTGGTTTTGTGCTTGGAAAGCGTTGCTAAAGCGTTCTGCGGCTTTCCTCGGAGAAAGCTGCTTTCATTTGTGCATGGCACAGCCTGGGAGGAGCTTTCTCTCTGACAAAGGGTTGGATTGAAGAAAAAAAAGAAAAGAGATCCCCCTCCTCAGCCTGCACGGTGTAGTTAGTTGTATTTCATCGACAGTTTGTATTTTGTAACCTAAAGTACTTTTGCTTTGCTGTAAAAAGTGGTTATGAATCCTGTAGCTTTAAAGTTATTTTTTGTCTTGCTGTCTGACAAAACTTTATTAGCCTTGCAGATAAGCAGCAGGATGCTTCGAGGGGGGTAAGCTTTATCAGCCTTCCTGTCGGAAGGATTTAAATGTAAGATTTGGTTACCATTTAACTGAGAACAACCTTGCTCAGCTCCTAAGTCTCTCCCCAGCTGTGCAAATATTCTTTAAGCCTTTCCCGGCTGCTGCTGCCTGTGCTGTTGGTTCTTTCCCTGCTGCTGCTGGCTGTCTTTGTGCACTGCTCAGTTTGGGCTGAGAGAGACTTCTCCAAAGCTGCCAAGGAGCCAGAGACCTTAAGAAGGGAGCACTCAATGCCCAGATTTTCTTCACCTTTGTCCTGTTAAGACCATGAGTGAAAAACTGTCCTGAATTTCTGAAACAGCTGTGAAATGGGATGGGACTTTTTGTTCTTGTTCTTTGGGCATTGTTTCTGTTACCAATGAGAGCCTGGTGGCATGTTGTCTGTCTGTCCTGTGTGTGAACAGCACATATGGGGACATGCTCAGCAAAACTTAGTACTTGATTAACTCAAAACTATAGGCCTCTTCAGAGAAACTTAAGGAAAATCTTTGTGTAGCACTTTAAAGAGCCTCAGCATGGGTGTATTGGTGTTTTTTCCCCTTTTTCTTTATTTTTAAAGGTCAGCTTGTTAGATGAGATCAGAGCTGTCTGCAAATGTGACTGGAGATGGCTTACTGGTATGACACCCTGTCCAGACAAACAGCCTGCTTTTTTTTAGTGGAGTCCAGCTGCCAGTGGGTGGGTTTGGTCTCATATCCTGGCAGCTGGACTGGGATAAATAACCCTATAACAATTTAAATAAGTGTAGTTGTTGTGAAGCATCAAGTTCAGCACTTCCTGTGTTAACATTGTAAGAAGTACAAATACCAAATCAGTGTAGTGCCTGTACATTACATTAGCAAAGCACATTAGGCAAAAGCAGTAGATACTCCACTGTGCACCTCTCAATCCCCAAAGGAATAAAAATCTTCTGTTTTAATACATGCAAATTGCTAAAACAGTCATAAGGCACTTACCATCTTCATTTTTTTCCCTGCACATTTATTGCTGTGCATTAGTTGATTTTTACAAACTTAGGAACAATGACGGACCAGAAACTCCCTTTGCTGAGGCTTGGGTAATGTTTGCATCCTTAAGTGTTTATACAAATAGTTTGAAATCTAGGTACATGTTAAAAATGTTTCGTCACTTGTGTCAGGCTTTTCAAACTAATGTTAAACTGGGTCCAGGTTATTGTCTTTGAGCTGTGTGCAATATTTTTAGATGAATCATAAAACTGAGATCTTGTCCTGACAATTGGTTTATTGACTAAATCCCATCTGCCCTTTCTAGTTCACTGAAGTCTTCAAATTCCTGTCTGAGATCATTCACTGTGGTTTGCCTTTGAATGGGAAGAGCAGCTGTTTTACAGAGTAGTGCTTCCTCTGTGTTTTGTGTGAAATACAAAATGTGTTCCCTCTCTAGTACTCTTGAGGTATGATGCAGACAAATTTCTCTGTACTAGGGTACTTGAACATGTAACAGGTTGCTTGACAGATCTGTCTGACCTCAAAACACATTCCTTGCTCCTCTCCTGGGTCAGGAAGATTAAGGCAGAGATTACCTGAAGGTTTAATTTAAGGGTACTCTAATTCATGACAAGCAGGGCCACTATTTTAATACAAATGAGTGGTTTCTTTAACTTTTTAGTTTTGCTAAATCTGTCTTGAGGTCTAAGTATCCCCACGCAAAGAAAACCTGCTATTGGAAATCTCAGTTCTTCGATAAAAACTCTCCAATAATGTTGTACTACCAGTTTTTAGATTCTATTTGAAGCAATGTTCATTCCAAGTGTCAGAGCTAGAGAACATTGCTTTGTTTCATTGAATAGAGCTGAGTGTTGAAAGCATCGGCACCTCTGACTCAGCTTTCTTCCCTGGAAGCTGCAGGCTGATGAAACCGAATTCGTAGTGAAACTTCCTTGTCAGGGTTGCAAAAGTGCCTCCCGTGCTCGTAACTCCTGCAAATACTTAAACCAAACGCGGAGACCCCCTGTGCTCTCCCCAAGGTCTTTTTTTTTCGGACACCGTTTGGATTAGTGGGGGACGCAGGCAGCCGTCCCCACAGATGCCAGAGAGCTCTAACCAGAAAGACAGGGCTTAGTATTTCTGCAGGGGAGGAGGGGATGGTGAGGCGGCAGCTCCTCGTTTCCCCGCTGCTGAGGCTCCTGCGGGCAGCCCCAGCGGGCACAGCCAGCCCCGCCGGCTGCAGCTCCGCTCCTCCGCCCCGGAGCACGGCCATTTCTGCTGAGCGGTGGGAGCCTCTGAAAAGGCTGAGTGGTGGTAGGAAAGGCTGCTAAAAGTCTTATTTCTCACACTTCCCCCCCTCCCGGTTTGACCTGGTGGGGGAAGGGAGCTTGCCCCGCTTGCTCCCCGCAAGGGGGAATAGCCCTCTTTATTCTGGCAAGTGCAGACGGTGTCAAAGTCAAGGTCAGGCTCAGTAAATACTGCTGTCATTTTACAGAGTTTGGTTTCCTTTTTAGAGTTTGGTTTTATTTTTCTGCTTTCTTTCTTTTTCTTTTTCCCTCCCTTCTGCAAATGTGGGTGGGACTCCAGAGAAAGGGCTGGGAGTTACCCACTGCTCTGCATGTTGAGTGATACAAAAAAATCAAAAAGGGGCTGAGAAAGGGTTTTCACAGAAGGCAAAGAGACGGGAACTAGACTCAGTGCAGTTTTCCATGCTGGTTTTAATCTCATTTAGAAGCAGGTACTGTTTTTTAACTCTTAAGATGCATCTTCACAGTACAGTGAAAGGAGTGTTGTGTTTTCTGCAGAACGAGCTACATCTTCAGCTGAAGTGCTGGCTTGTACATCCTGGTAAGAAATGGCTTTGGCAGGTCATGACAAAAGTACAGGCATACTAGACAAGTGACCTGCTTGCGTTCTGAGAAATTAGATATTCCCAAGCTGCCAAAATGATAAGGTTTTATAGGACTGGTGGGGAAAATGGATTGTTCTGAGCTGCTAGAAATGGAGCTTTTGCATTTGGCAACACTGGGACATTTGCAGAACTTGCCCACATAAGTTACTGTCTTTTTCTTTACACCAGAACTGAGCTGGAGGTGTGGTGGGAAAATGGCATTTCAAAACCATAGTTAATTCAATTCACAGCCCCACATCCAGTTTTTGTGTGCAGAAGACATTGATCGCTGGGTTCAAGTTCAATAAATAGCAGACAAAAACCAGTCTTCCAGGAATGTGTCAGGCTTTGGCAGTATTCTGGGCCCAATTTTTACTTGTCTATTGAACCATCAGGGTTTTGGTGGGGGAGGAGAATTGCAGCAGCCACCCCATGCAACAGTGGTTGCTCCTGTCAACTGTTAGATTGTACCCTTAGCTCCTCATGTTCAAGGCAGATAAATACCAAAACAAGTGGGAAGGGCTCAGGAAGAACAAGATAGAATGTGATTGTCTGTAGCAACTGAGATACCTACCAAGGTTTCCCATGCTATTGTGTTGTACATCAGACAAAAAAAAAAAAAAGTTGAGCATGAAGAAAACTTTTACTACTGAAAACATGCAAACCCTGTATTTCTATCAGTACAGTCGGTAGTATCTGTCTTGCCTGGGTTTGAATTTGCTTCTGTTGCTGCTCTATGTGCAGAAACAAAAAGCAGGAGAAAACAAGAATTTTGATTTTAACTGTTTATTTATTAATAAATTTTATGTTATTGTTTTATTATTTATCTCAACATGCCAGAAGGCTAAGTCAGATCTCTTTCTGTAGAGGCTGTGCTGTTCTCTGAAAGATAAGTTGGAGCCTATCTGTGTTCTGTTTTTACAGGCAGATGTATGCAAGTTCTGCCCAGTCTGTGGAGATATGAACAGCAGCCAGAGCTGGGATGGGTGGCCCTGCAGAGGGGGATGAGGTGAGGCTGTGCAGGTTCCCAGTCTCCCTGGTGCAGAACTGGCTCCTGTGCAAGTAGGTGTGAGGAGGTGGTAGGAGTCTGGTGTGTTGTATAGGAAGACATGGGCCTGTTCAGGTCACTGTAAATATCATTTAATATTTCCCTGGAAATGTTCAAGGTCAGGTCAGACAAGGCTCTGAGCAACCTGGTACAGTTGAAGGCCTCCCTGCTTATTGCAGGAGGATTGGACTAGATGACCTTTCAATCCAAACTACTCTATTATTCTGTGATTCTATGAAATAAATACTTTTTTAAAAGATTTTGAATTGTGAGAACTGGAGTTTAACCTGTTGAGCAGAGGGATGAAAAACAGGTTATGTAATTTATAGTAAATGTGAGTAAAGAAAGATTTCTGTGCCTCCCTGGCTGACTTTGGCTCCCGGATAGGTGAGTTCACACACATCAGTGATCAGAAGAAATGTGCATGGCCATATTTCCATGCCTCAGGGAAGTGCATAAGTAAACATACTTTGGGCATTGCCACAGCTATCTTGGATATAAAAGCAAGGGGGGAGGATGTTTGGGCTGATGAAATTAAAGCTAGTTCAGGTACGCCTACCCCAAACCATGATAGAACATGAATGGCAGAGGTGTAAAATGAAGGAGCATATCCCAGGAGACATGGGATAGTTCTTTTATCCCTCTTTGGTTCTTGTTTGCAAAATTCTTCACTTTCCAAAGACTTTGGTTGGCACAACATA